AGAGCAGGGTTTAGGGCTGTTGTACACAGGGTTGCTATGAGTCGCAAACGACAGCACATAACAACAACAAACTTTAACTAGAAAGGCTCTTTCAATTATACCAACATATTGGTACTTTTGGCACTCCATGGAATATTCAATACTCTTGTCCAACACCATAATTCAAAGGCATGGATTGTTCTTTTGTCATCTTTATTTACTGATCAACTTGCAGATACATAGGAAGCAACTGGGGGGAAAAAATCACACCTTGCACCAGGTGAACCTGAGTCTTTAAAATGAGGTCACTGCTCTTCAACTCTTTAAAGAGGTCGCTGACAGTAAATTTTCTCAATGCAGTACATGTTTTTATTTCCTGGTTGCTGCTACTAGTGGCACAAATTATGCATCTAAGTAAAATTAATTCATTGATATCTTCGATCTTTTCTCCATCATGATATTGCCTATTGCTCCAAGAGTGAGAATTTTTGTTTTCTTAATGTTGAGATGAAATCCATACTGAAGGTTGTAGTCTTTGATCTTCTGCAGTTAGTGCTTTAAATCTTCATTTTCTGCAAGTCAAGTTGTGTCATCTCCTTAAGGTAGATTGTTAATGAGTTTTTCCTCCAATCCTGAGTCTATATTCTTCATCATAAAGTCCAGCTTCTCAAATTATTTGCTCAGATACAAACTTGATACACAATTTTCCAGCTTTTAAGCCAAGGAAGCAATTGTCAGAACAGAGCAAGGGAACACTGCATGGTTCAAAAACAGGAAGGGTGTACGCCAGGGATGTATCCTATCTCCATACCTTTTCAATCTATTTGCAGAACAGATCATCCAGCAGGCTGGGCTCTATGAGGAGGAATGTGGCATCAGGATTGGAGAGAGCCTCAACAACCTGCATTATGCAGAAGACACAAGCCTGCTTGCTGAAACTGAGAGGACCTGAAGCGATTGCTTCAGAAGGTCAAAGACTATAGCCTTCAATATGGATTGAAGCTCAACATCAAGGATGATAGAAAAGAGAATTGATGCCTCTGAGCTGTGGTGCTGGAGAAGAATATTAAACATTCCTTGGATTTCATAGATTTCATATGAGTACAATTAGGTAACTCTGAGATTACCATTTTTCTCAATATTAGCCATAATTTGTTATGATCCACACAGTCAAATGCCTTTGTATAGTCAATAAAACACACACACAAAAAAACCATTTTTCTGGTATTTTCTGCTTTTAGTCAAGATCCACCTGACATCAGCAATATTATCCGTTACCACAATCTCTTTTGAGTTTCTAAGTTTCCCGTCAATGGACTATTCAAGTCATGTTTTTAAAATATTCAGCATAATTTTCCTTGTATGGGATAATGATGATATTGTTCAAAAACTTCTACATTCTCTTTCATCATATTTTGGGGGAATGAGAATAAACATCAGTCTTTTCCAGTCAGTTGGCCAGGTAGCTGTCTTATAAATTTCTTGAAATAAACTGGTGAGCACATCCAGGGCTACATCTGATTGTTCAAACTTGTCAACTGGTATTCAGTCAAATCCTGGAGCCTTATATTTTTGTCAATATCTTCAGTACAAGGTAAACTTCTTCCTTTACTTATCATTTGTTCTTTATTATCATTTGTTCTTGATCATATGCTAATTCTTGAAATGGTTCAGTGCTGACCAATTCCTTTCACTTCAATAACTGTGTGTATTCCATCCATCTTCCTTTTTTTATCTTCTTTTGATGCCTCCTGAATGATTCAAAATTTTGTTAGTAAAATCCTCAATTATTGCAGCTAGAAGCATGAATTTATTTTTCAGTTTCTTTAGCTTAAAAAGTGCTAAAAGACAGTCTTCCTTTTTGGTTTTCTAACTCCAGTTCTTTGCATATTTCGTTATACTTTGTTTCATCTTTTCAAGCTGCCCTTTGAAATCCTATGTTCACCTCTCTAACTTCATTCAGCATTCATTTCCTTTGGTGGACAGACAGCATAAGAAAGGAAAACCCTGGGTGATAGGATTGCTTCAGTGACTGGGGTAATGAGGGGTAGGTAGTCAGAGACAATAAAATTGGCTCAAGATAGGGCAGAGTTCAGGACTGTTGTACAAAGAGTCACAATGAGCCACAAGCAACTCGATGGCACACAACAACCACCTTCAAGTTTCAAAATGACTTTTGATACAATATTGGTAATAGAGAAGACATTCAAGAAAATAAAAATTTATACTTAATTCCTTAACAAGACAAAAATGCCCAAAATTCTGTAATTTTACTTACTGGGGAGAAAGGAAAGCCTTCCAGGTCAGAAACAAGGCAAAAACACTCACCATCTCTACAAGAATTATCACTGTATTAGAAATAAATCGTCCTTCTTCTCTGAGAAAATACCAAATGGCAAATGATACTGGTACAGTGGGAGGGCCCAGAGGCCCTGGGAGGGGAGCCCACTGTGGTTTACTTGGAGGCTTCAGTAGTGGTCTGTGGGATCGTGGTCGGGGCCCCAGCCATGGGAGGAGCGACGGAGCTCAAGGAGGCAAAGCCAAGGACAATGAGTGGCTCCCCATCACCAAACTGGGCCGTCTGGTCAAAGATAAAAAGAGCAAATCCTTGGAGGAGATTTATTGTTCTCCCTGCCCATCAAAGAGTCTGAGATCAGTGACTTTTTCCTGGGGATGTCCCTTAAGGATGAGGTCTTAAAAATTATGTCTGTGCAGAAACAGACAGATGCTGGCCAGTGGACCAGGTTCAAGGCCTCTGTCGCCATTGGAGACTATAATGGCCATGTAGGCTTGGGTGGAGATGGCTACTGCAATCCGTGGGACCATTATCCTGGCCAAGAGTTCTACTGTCCCTGGGTGGTGTGGCTACTGGGGGAACAAGAATGGCAAGCCTCACACCGTTCCCTGCAAGGTGACTGGGTGCTATGGCTCTGTGTTGGTGGGTCTGATCCCTGCACCCCAAGGCACTGGAATTGTCTCAGCCCCTGGCCCAAGAAGCTGCTGCTGATAGCTGGAATCGATGACTGCTACACCTCAGCCAGGGGCCACACAGCTACCTGGCTGGGCAACTTCGCCACAGCCACCTTTATTGCCATCTCCAAGACCTACAGCTACTTGATTCCAGAGATCTCTAGGAGGAGACTGTTCATCAAGTCTCCCTACCAGGAATTCACTGACTTATCTTGTAAAAATTCACACCAGAATCTCCGTGCAGAGGACTCAGCCTTCAGCTGCAGCCACCACATGGTGGATTTTGTATAACAAATAAAGTGAATTAAGTTCCAGAGGGAAAAAAAAAGTAAATTGTCAAACAAGACAGAAAATAATCAGAGAAAAAAAGAATAGAAAAGTAGTAAAGCTATTTCTTTCTACAGACATGATAATATACCTATGAATGGTAAGAGAAATAGTAACAAAAATATAAACAGGACCAAAAAAAACTGTAAAAATTTTTAAATGCTCCTAAATAGCACAAAGAAAGGAACTCTTCCCAAATTAATTATATGAAGTTACCACTATTCTAATAAGAATTCTAGTAAATAAGTTTGTTTGATTCCCTCCAATCCCTGACTTCAGACAAGCTGAGTTTTGAAGCATATGACAAAAATAAACATGTAAAAATTGTTAGAAAATTGTTAAGGGGGAACAAATGAAAGGAAAATCAAATTGACACCAGCAATTTGAAAAATTAGAAAATTTAGGGGACAGTAATGAGGTGGATTGATTCAGTGACAAGGGTAATGGGGGTAGGTGTGTCAGAG